CATACTTTTCAAACATATTGGCAACAACCAGGTGGAACGTGGAAATGATAGACACTGCACAACCTCTTCAAATGGACGTTTCGTGGTTACCATAAATGATATTGTCCAGAAATAGTTTTGAGTTTGCAAGGCGTTTTCAAAAAATAGAAGACATTATTTCACCCTTATCGTTTATGGTCACTGAGCAAACCTCTTCATTTTCAGCTAAACGATTTTTGCTCCATTGTGGTTTACATAAAGAGACGACAGTTATTATAAAGTTATACAAAAAAGGTCATATAAATGGTTCATAAAATTTTTCATACGTAAACATAAAGTTAGTTTTGTTTCTTTGTGAGCGTTTCGTATCATGTCAACAGGTCTACCTCAAACGACTTTATCTTTTATACACTAGTCCAACAAGTGTCGCCACATTCACATGAAATCTAGAGCAAGCAGACGACATTAGTGGTACGCTGTATTGATATTTTCACGAAAGTTAATACAGACGTGAATACGAATTTTGCATCGATTTATGCACAACTGTTGTCGGAGGAAGTGCTTGGACCAACAGACCTTCATAAAGCCTCATGGTGCAGAAAAATAGGGCGTAAAACTCAGTTCATTACAGCTCATTTGGATCAATAGAACTGAGGACGAAGTACAGAGACAAATGTGAATTTGTATTGAAAAGGAATACGTGGTGTATATTTGTTAAATGAACGGACGAATATCTTCAAAATTGTGGTTACTGATGAAATAGTGGTCGTAATTTTGCTACATCTGAAAGTGCTAGTGCATTAAATCCCAGAAACATATACCGTCCAGTTATCACAATTTAAAAGTTATTTTCTCTTTGAATACGGTAAATACAAAATGGTAGAAATAGGGATGCCAATGTTGGCCTTGGACCAAACATGGAGTCGACGAAGAGCTCAACATGTTATAAAACCGACAGTGGTAAGTTAAAAGTGTATATTATATAGTTGAAGATTGATTCGAATAGGGAAATTATGATAGACGTCATGACATAATAAATATATGCATTATAACTGAAATAGCTGGGAAAAACTATCCTCGTCATTTGTGGTCAGTCCACAAGCCGTATCTACCTAGCTTATATTGGTTAAGTTTATCTACCCGTGACTTGTTATTCACAAATTCCTTGTGATCATTCCACTATTGCGAGCAGATTTGCCAATGTGGAACCCCCGTCAGTAAGCCTTGAAAGCCGAAGCGTATCTAGAGAATGCCCAAGGAGTGGTCAAAATGAGAGGTGTCTCACCGAGGCCCAAAGGGGTCTGGGTGATGTCAAAGAGTCTCAGAGGCCAGCAGATTTCAGATGAATTTTGAGCATTTAGAGGGCTTAATTTTCATTGCAAAAAAGATCTTACATCTGCCCGAAGGGGCCCCATTTTCCTATAGACCTCCTCTAAATACGCTACTGCTTTGAAGCCTATGCTCACAAATTTGTATGTTTACAATTCGTGAACAGAGTCAATATTTCGTTTAATACGAACCGAAAGTTCTTTTTTGCATTTCCAATCATCATGTGGACTACTTTGTTTTGAGCATATTCGGATTTGGCTGCATGTTCAGCATAATCAAAAATGCAGTGCGCAATTATCTCTCTCAGAAACCCTTTGGATCAATAGCTTCAATTAGAATGCCATCATGATATATTAGTGAATCAACAAGCCATAACGTGAGGTAATAAGATTAAACACGATCACATGGGATTCAACCATTAGCTGACTTACTAAATTGACCATAATGTACCAATTAAACATCCCAAAGGAGACTATTTCCCCTAGTGTGGCAATGGCGATGTTACATGCCGGGCATGCTTTTGTTTGTTCTTTGATCATCATAAATAAATGATCCTACTGTATAGAACGATATGAAACTATAAATTGTTAACATAGTTTGGGTAATGGCTTGATGGTTTGATTTGCAAGATTTTTCAAGGAACTGATGACTCGTCTTGTTATTTATATATTTGATTTGTGTTACTGTTTAATTATTTATACAATGTATTGCATATCGATACGTTTAAATGGTTTATATTTTCAAAGGGTTAAAGCTGTCACGAACTTTGCTGCGGAGTCCAGCCTCTCTGGTGATCGTTTGTTTAAGATCTCTTGTTGCAAAAGGGTAGCTAACGTCGCTGTCGTGGTAAAATTTCTCCGACTGCATACTACACGGCGTTGTCTGTCTTCATTAGCTCATAAGGTGGGATTCTCATAAAGAGAATGCAAATAGCTGAACCAACGATCCAGCACTGCTGTGATAGCAGACGTGCCTCTATTCCCAAGGCATTTGATATATGCATGTAGATTTGAATATTATCTGGGGTCATGAATTTACCGTCAGGTCGACCAAAATATCCTTTTTGATCCTTAATTCATTATGCGTGTTGATGGTGAGTACAACATTAAAGGCTGATTTTTGGTCTCTGTGAATAAAATCAGTATTTAAAAACACGATGTGAGTAAGAAGAAAAGAAATCACTCAAATGCTGGATTTATTGTTTTTTTAAACATGTAAATCAAGGTGGATTTAAAGTGACATTTCATTTAATCACTATTTGTATGGACATTGTAGAATATCCTGTAATACCTTGATGGATTCATTAATGGTTTAGCCTTGTATAGATACCAAAGTTTATTCAAAATTTCGTGTAAAAGTGAGTCGGAGCAAGTCCCGAATTTGATGCCTGGCCCTATACGTGACGATATCCCATAGGTATGAGAAATGTGATAATTACTTTCCGCAACTGTGCGCATGGTTCCTGACCGCCATCAATAAATCTGTTTCTGAAGTTATTCTGCGCTCAATCCGCCTACTCGCGCTAACGGTTAGGGTGACATCTCTCTTTAAACCAACCGAAATCAGTATATCATTGGTTAACGAAGCACAGCGAGGAATTTAATGTCTTTTATATATTTTGTTAAAATATGACGCTACGTTGATTTATATTAAGTCTTTTTTTCTAAACAAAATACATCCTTTATATAAAAAAAACAAGGCTTCGTAGGAGTAGGTTCGGTTTTAGTGCGGCTGGAAAAAAATTAGAATTGAGAAAAGTCGGTGTAAGTAGTTTTATATTTAAGTTGGTTTAGGGTTAAGCTAAAGTTAGATATGGTTAATGTACGTAAACCTAGGTTTAGACAAGTGATGCCAATATACTTCAGCAAAATCTTAAATAAAAATCATATAAGTGCATATTAATGTGGCTAAAGCGCAAGGTTTAACTGCTGCTGTACACAAAGGTTCGGAAGAGAATGGCAAAAGATCTTTAGATTTGAGTGTGGTTCAAGAACCAATGTTTAGATTAAAGTGTGGATAATAAACCAATGTTTAGATTTAAGCGTGGATAATAAACCAAGGTGTAGATATAAGTGTGGCTAATGTACAAAAGTATGTAAGTGTACCCAAGTAACTTTAGTAGATTTAAGCATGTTTAAAGTATATATGTTTAGATTTAAGTGTGTTTAAAGTATATACATGTAGGTGTAATATTTAAGCATGCTTTAAGTGCATAGCTTTAGATTTAAGAAGGATTAAAGTACATAGGTTTAGATTTAAGCGTGTTAAAAGTATATAAGTCTAAAGTATAAAGGTATAAGAGTTAAGTATGTTAAAAGTACATAGCTTTAGATTTAAGTGTGTTAAAAGTATATAGGCGTAAGATTTAAGAGTGTTTAAAGAATATAGGTTTAAGATTTAAGCATGTTTAAAGTATATAGGTTTAAGATTTAAGTGTGTTAAAAGTACAAAGGTGTAAGACTTAAGTGTGTTAAAAGTATATAGGTGTAAGATTTAAGTGTGTTAAAAGTATATAGGTGTAAGATTTAAGTATGTTTAAAGTATATAGGTGTAAGATTTAAGTATGTTTAAAGTATATAGGTAGATTTAAGCATGTTAAAAGTATAAAGGTGTAAGATTTAAGTGTGTTTAAAGTATATAGGTGTAAGATTTAAGTATGTTTAAAGTATATAGGTGTAAGAGTTAAGTATGTTAAAAGTACATAGCTTTAGATTTAAGCATGTTTAAAATATATAGGTGTAAGATTTAAACATGTTTAAAGTATATAGGTGTAAGATTTATGCATGTTTAAAGTACAAAGGTGTAAGATTTAAGTGTATTTAAAGTATATAGGTTTAAGATTTAAGTGTGTTTAAAGTATATAGGTTTAAGATTTAAGTGTGTTTAAAGTATATAGTTGTATGATTTATCTGTGCCAAAAAGTGCATAAATTTTTTAAGTAAGAAAGTTTACATTTAAGAGCAGCCCAATTTGTGGTTAAATTTGCAAAACCTTTTCAAGACGAGATTCCTGGCTACTTTTAATATGTGTTGAACTCGAAAACAAATCTATGTGGGTAGGCTACTTTTAATACGTGTTCAACTTGATATTAGATCTATCTGGGAAAACAACTTTAACTAAGTGTTGAACTCGACATTATATTTATTAAATATAATTTGAACTCTGATGTCCTAAATCATTGCTGACTAACTTCACGTGACCACTTGAGTTCAAACTCGACACTTATAGTCATCACTATATTAGTTCCTTATTGTAAATCAAACTGTTCATTTGTTTTATTTACCCTGTAATAAATTTTATTATATTTGGACGGGATGAAGGTTTTTCGTGTTAGAATTGGACCGGTCGGTCAGGTAAGGCTGCGGCTAAAGGTTGTTTTGTACGGACCGCAATTGCATATGGCATGTCAAGATCTGAAAAGGACCGCTATGTTCTGTGGGTAGAACATAAGAACGCAACGTAACATTTTGCTATTTAAAGGGACAGATTCGCCACTGGTTTAGCACAATGTCCCCATTGCACACTGCAGGGACGTTGCTCGTCTTCATTAGTCCAATAAGGTACAGAAAGGTAGGATGTAAAACTTCATTTCATTTATTCTTTTAACTGTATTAGTGATAAATACATATCAATACGTCACCGACTGATATTTATGTCACTGTTACTATTTATATTTCCAGAAAACTACAGTTATGGATCGAAAGTTTATAGACGAAGTGGTAGATGCACATAATGTTTACAGATCTCGCCACCAGGTGTCGCCGTTATCTCATTCGCGAGAATTGTCGCAGACGGCACAAAAATGGGCGGAACAGTTGGCGGCCACCAACAGTTTTCAGCACAGTAGTTCCTCATACCGAGGCGAAAGTTTAGGCGAGAACATCGCTATGAAATGGTCCTCGAGACCCGATAGCTACACAGGTAAATGTAGTTATTTTTGAGAAAAAGAAATTACTTACATATAGATCAATAAGTATTTTTGCGTGGTCGGACAAATCTGGCCCTACTTGTTTCTTTGACGTGATATACGGATTCGATATTGGCGCGTTTGAACCGTAGGGCAAGATTTATCGAGTTTTATTCTGCCTTTATACCTGCTATTAGTATTATTTATTTGTAATGTTAAGTATGCCAAGGCCGATTTGTTGTGTGAAAGATATTGAATTTTCAAAGATTGCTAGGTAAGAGCGGCATGTGGGAAAGTCTGACAAAGTGCTGGACTGCGTAGACCTGAACGTTTCCACAACTAAAAAAAAAGTTATCCCTTATAATAAAATGAGCACCCGGGTTGGGTTTGGTTATCACGGGTAAAAGTCACCTGTATGTGCACACATGAAATGGGCGGCGTATATTGACGTCACCAATATCTATCTGTCCGTCTGTCAACAATTGGTGAAATTGTTTATTATCACCCAAGGATAAACAGGTGATATTTGCCACTCTGTCAAACTAAAATACCAGCGGGCCTTAATTAGCTTGCCAGACAAAACAATTATACATTGAAATAGCTTGACATTGTGAAGATAGTTATAAGGTTCGAAGGAGACAAAGTAAGTTCCATTAAAATTCCATTTGTAATGATGATCTATGTTTTACACTAAATCCGGATAAATTCGTGACATATCGCCTACCACATTAATTTAGGACGTGGGTAGAGTTTCATTGGTCAAAGGACACTACAAAATTATCGTGGATGATGTTACATAGGTTTCGTTTGAATTGTTTCTTACGTTTTAAGAATGATATATGTCAGGATCGTGAAAAGAAATACGGATATAACAAAAAAAACGTATATATACATTGCGCAATTAGGGAAAATTCACCCGTCATGGGTAGATGCTCGTGGATGTAATGCACGGGTCTCGCTATACCATTCGCGTTTTATGTCAGTCCCTCAGACTTGCATCTTTGGAAAATCTCATTCTAACCATGTAACTTTCTTAAGACTATTCCATATGCTGGATCTTATTTTGTCCGGCATAGGGACAGAACCTTGTTTGAGAAATTCGTTCTGAAATATATGTAAGAGTGGTAAAACACATTTTTGAGAACGTTTCCAAACCATGCAAATAATATAAATTTCAGAATTCTCCAAATTATGAAACAGCCGAATTCAATAATCACTCTTGAGGGATTGGGAAAAGATTACGCCCAACCTTGATCCCTGGAGCATTTTTTAAGTCATTGATACAGAATCGTAGCCAGATTTGATTGTTCGCAGGGGCAAGTTACATATCCGAAGGAGCAATTGTGTATGCTATTAAGTTTCGTCAATGAAATTGGTCAGTTGTCAGAATTTTTTAAATTCATTTTTACGGGGGTTGGCATTGCCACCTGTGCCTCTTATAGCTACGGGTCTGCTTTGAATCATAAATTACATTGTAGGTCAGGAAGTAACAGATCAATGGTATAGCGAAATCAAAATGTATACATTTGGTGGTGAACCCAGAAATCTTAACTCAGGTAAGCTGATTCTGGCTGTCATATTTGATCATGTTTTAAGTCGTTGAAGGACTGGATCCATGTCGCTGTGACTTGTGATATTGTCGCCATAGGAACTATAGACGCCGGACGTTATAAATTAGTGATATTAGGGGTGGGACAATCGCAAACACATTCTGGTAAGGGTGAATCTAGATCGTCTAAAAAAATTGGTATATTACACAATGGGGGAAGACACATTTTTCAGACGATTTGGCCTAAAAACACCCTTGCAGAAAGAGGCCTTTTTGTCCCAACGCCAGTAAAACGACATCGTAGCTTGAACGTACTTGATGAAACTGCTACCATTGTCTGGTCAAATTCTTTAGACATCTGCCGGGAAATTAAAGCTGTCCTAGTTACACGTAAATCGAGTAAATAAAACTTGGTAGAAGGATATTTATCTATTTGCGGTTTTTCTCATTTTCAGGTCATTTTACGCAAGTGGTATGGAAAGGCAGTCGAGAGATAGGTGTTGGTAAAGCTACCACTAAAGATGGTAAAATTATTGTGGTGGCTAATTATTTACCAGCTGGTAATATGCTGGGTGATTATTCACGGAATGTCCTGCCTCCAAGAGATGGGCAGACTTCAGTACCTCAAACACAGCAAAGAGGTACGTTACGTTATCTTAAAATGGATAACAATATGGTCCTCTAGATATTTGCCTTGAATGCTGACAGAACTTACTATATCACATCGGTGCCACTTTTAAATGTATAAGTTGATAGGGAATATTTGCATGTTTGCGATTATTTTGGACTGAAAATGTCGTTTCTCACCGTTACTTATTGTAGGCTAACTAACTAGGGTCCGGGAAATAGTACGATGGACCGTTATTTTATTGTTGTAATAATGACGCAAACGGGTAAAATTGAACATGATTCAAATAAGAATTTCATATGATCATTGATGACAAGTTAAGTATGCCACAAAAGAACACGAAATGAAACTGATAGATTATATCTGCTTTAAGACTGATTTTATTCGTCTGAATATTTGCTTAACCAGTTCAGCTACCCGCATCATATTATAGAATGAACCCCGACGTCTCGTTCTCCAACGATTTAAAACACATATATATCATGACACTTTAAACATTCGCTATTTTTGGGCCGTTATCAATATTCTTTTAAGCATTATTGGTCGAGTGGAAAGTGGAACGTTTTTGTTGAATTGCAGAAGAACCAATTTCATGTTCAATTGAATGTTTTCTTGTTGGCAAAGCAATTATTTAGATGAATGCCCCCCCCCCCCCCACACCCCCTTTTTTAATGATGTATTAATCGTATGTTATGCAATATGGCCAAAATTTGTCGTATTCCAGATTCGCCATCGAGTACCTTTTCCAATAGGAGTAACTCGTCAAGCTTTAACAACAACATACACAGTTTTGGTACGGACTCAGGCTTCGGCGATTTCGATAACATGAGGAAGAACTTCTTTGGGCGACGTTCTGGTGATGATGGTGGCTTCCCATCGAGTACCACATCGACGAGACAGTGCAATACGGGTGGAGAGAAACGTAGTACAAGAGTGTACACGGTAACGGAAGGTCGTGGACCCAATAAGGTGACAAAGATCATTGAGGAAGAGACCATCACCAAACCTAATGGCGAAACAGTTACTAATAGAAAGGAATCCGTTAAAAAGGACGATTCCACTGGAAGTGGTTCCAATTGGAGTGGTTTTCATCGTTCACCGGTAGTTATTACTTTGATATTTTTCTACTTTAAGGTCCGAAAAGAGTAGTAATTATAATAGAGGTTACGTTTTATGCTTTACACATCTTTTTGTGGTTTTGTCTACTGAACAAGTCGCTCTGTAGATGTCGGGAATGTTGATGATTTCTTACGTCCAAATGTACAAACCAAGGGTGGAATGATAGGTGATTTAGGCAAAACAGACGCTTGAAAACTGAGAACGGACAGCTAAACGCAAGTCTGGTCTGAGACTTCTAACCCGTCTGCTATATCCAGACACGCCTAATTAAGTAACAAAAGATTGGGCTAATACAACGCTGTGTAATCTTGTAATTCTGCTGTCGATGGATCTTTTACGTGTACGAATCATAGCCAACGGCTCCTGGTTAAACGCCCAATCCGAACAACTAGACGCTATTTTACCGATTTAGCCCCTTTGGGGGAAAACGACTGAGTGATTGACTGTTTCCCTTTCTATTCTATAGTTTGACAGTGGTCTTGATAATTTTAGTAGAAGACTACAAATAGATGATAATGATGGTTTTAGATCCCAGGGACAAACCAAACAGTCCAAGGTTAGTTAAAGATGCACGACTTGATGATTTGACAATTCATCCAAGAATGAATTGTGTCAATTTCTCGGGGTCACGATACTTGTCGCTTTAAAGGGTGCGCCATTTTTTGACCAATCATACTTTAGTCTCAGCTTAGCTAAGCCAATCAGTAAAAGTGTTCACAGCTCACCGTCGAAATACGAGCCTTCAAATCCATGTGTGTCAAGAATTATCTGCATTTGAATGTTAAAATGACGACTAGTCAATTTAATATACTCTGTGAGATATAGAATAGTGAGTAAAATTCCTAGTATCTTTAAAAGAATTTTACAACATTTCTAGTACTTCTTAAGACTATTCCCCCAAAATGCCGCAATCGCCCCTTTAAAGGCAACACATTTTAGTCCATAGACCGCCACTCATCTAGTTGAGTCACTGATCATTTGGGCGGGGGACAGTACATCTCTTACGTATGGATCAGTCCTTAATCCTATTTACTTGAATCAAACTATAAAATCTGGGTAAGAAAAAGATCATCGGCTTAATGATAATTATTAGCAACAAATAGGATTTCAATTTGTTTGACCATAAACTCTGCATAATTATAATACAAAGCTGTTAACTAAATTCTTTGGACATTTGGATAATTTTCTTCAAGCCTGACCGATCTACATTTTAAGGTAAATTACTACGTGTTAAGAGTTACCCATCTGACATGTTTTATAAGTGTCCATGTTTTTTTTTGCTTATGGTATTTCTTTGGACAACCTGTTTGTTTTAACTTAATCATTTTTTCGAGTAACCTATGAACCATTCTCTGGCCAAATTGGTACAAATCTTTATTCAATAAAAATAGCTAAGATAATCCAATTTAACACGAAACAACGGGTTTTTGTCTTCATTGCCATATCAGTTTATGTCTTTGCATTGACGCCAATGGTCTATTCCTTATATCACGTTAACTTTATAAAAAAATCTTTTTTCCAATTATTTCACCCCAATCTATCCGTACAGCTAAGATTTCATGGAATAAAAGTTGCCCAATATGTCAATTTCCTTTGAAATATTCTTTCAGCCTTTTGGACACAGCACGGGTAGCAGTAGTAGTAGTGATTCGTCATCAGAGACCAGTAAAAGACCTAAAACAATGTCTGAATTTACGGATAGTTCTTTGAAGCAACATAATAAAGTCCGGGCGAAGCATGGAGTGGCTCCATTGAAGCTCAGTAAAGATCTCTGTGCTCATGCCCAAAAATGGGCGGAACATCTGGCCTCCTCGGATAGCTTTCAACACAGTCAGTGTACCCTGGGGGGTGAACGTGTTGGAGAGAATATTGCCTGTAAATGGTCCTCAGGTGGCGGAGATTATTCTAGTAAGTTCTCTCTGTTTTCATTATAATCGAAAACCTGTCTTTAAAAATATAATCTACAATACATACTCATAACAATTTGAATAGGTACATTCCAGATTTCCAGTTCGCTAGCAACTGCGATAAAGTAGTCGCAGATCTCACCGCCCAGTCCAGCGACTAAATTCATAGCGATTCACAGTTGATGATGTACTAAATCCTAAAATTGATCAGATGCTTCCAGTTTCAAGTAGCCTACCAGAAATCACATGACATTGAATAAAAATGTTTATTAATTTTATTCTAGGTCAAGAGGTTCTAGATCAATGGTATAGTGAAATTAGTAAACATGATTATAATTCAGAACGTTCACTCGGCACCGGTAAGTCGAACTGTTTTAGTTTCTTATTTACAAATTGGAGTTATGTACCGTTATTTACAACTTTAAGACTTTCTGCATACTGATATTGATGAGAAATGATCTTTTTGTTCTTAATCGGTATAAACGATAAAATCTGCATTGGTCACTTGTAAGTGAAACTTATCAATGATACATGCCACTCGTAAGTGAGACCTGTCAATGATACAGATCACTTGTAAGCGAAACCTGCCAATGATACAGATCACTTGTAAGCGAAACCTGTCAGTGATACAGATCACTTGTAAGCGAAACCTGTCAATGATACAGATCACTTGTAAGCGAAACCTGTCAATGATACAGATCACTTGTAAGTGAGACCTGCCAATGATACAGATCAAATGTAAGCGAAACCTGTCAATGATACAGATCACTTGTAAGTGAAACCTGTCAATGATACAGATCACTTGTAAGCGAAACCTGTCAATGATACAGATCACTTGTAAGCGAAACCTGCCAATGATACAGATCACTTGTAAGCGAAACCTGTCAATGATACAGATCACTTGTAAGCGAAACCTGCCAATGATACAGATCACTTGTAAGCGAAACCTGTCAATGATACAGATCACTTGTAAGTGAGACCTGCCAATGATACAGATCACTTGTAAGCGAAGCCTGTCAATGATACAGATCAATTGTAAGCGAAACCTGCCAATGATACAGATCAATTGTAAGCGAAACCTGCCAATGATACAGATCAATTGTAAGCGAAACCTGTCAATGATACAGATCAATTGTAAGCGAAACATGACAATGATACAGACCACTTGTAAGCGAAACCTGTCCATGATACAGACCACTTGTAAGCGAAACCTGTCCATGATACAGATCACTTGGAAGTGAAAACTGTCAATGATACAGGCCACTTGGAAGTGAAAACTGTCAATGATACAGATCAATTGTAAGCGAAACATGACAATGATACAGACCACATGGAAGTGAAAACTGTCAATGATACAGGCCACTTGTAAGTGAAACTTGTCAATGATACAGATCGCTTGTATCAAAACCTGTCAATGATATAGGTCGATGCAGCCGACAAGAGAAAACACATCTTTCGGGCACTGAGGCCACATGTGCTACTGTTCTAGGACGTTTAGGATCTCTTGAGTGTTGGAAATCAGGTAAATTCAGTAACACGCACAAAAAAGCCAATTCTATAACAAAAACAGTACGAAAACTCATACCTTGCTGTTTCTATCTATTTTTTTTCTCTTCAAGGCCACTTTACGCAAGTTGTATGGAAAGGGAGTAAAGAATTGGGAATTGGTAAAGCTAAAGCTGCAGGTGGTAAAATAATTGTCGTAGCCAACTACAGACCAGCTGGGAATATGATCGGTCAATTCCGACAAAATGTCTTCCCTCCCCAATAGACACAGCAACTATCGACAGTATTATTTGCAGGATGTAACAGTTTATATAATTTGAATACTTTAACCTTTAACAATGTGCTTCTCAGAAGTCTTTCGTTTCTATTGGTATTCCTACGTTCTTGTCGGGAAATCATGTTGCATCATCAGCTGACTTTGTTTAGGTTCAGTCTTGAGTCAAATTCCGCCATGCATTTGCCGTTTCAGATGTTTAAGTGTTAGCAAGTTTAAGTTTTGAGTGACGCAATACCTGCCTAATCCCTGTCTGTGTTAAAATAAATCGAGCATTCCAAATCGTATTATAACGTTCCCTCACACTATAGCGATTACCAGTATGATAACGAATAATGAAAGTGGTCACGAGTTCTGAACGCTATTCTTATTCTCAACCATACACAACTGGTGTATCGCTATGGTGTAAGGGGTACCTTACCCGTAAATATTTTTTTGCGCATTTTCCATACAGCATTCCAGTCGCTCCGCGCAATTCAGAGCATAATATTGCAACGATGTTAGGTTTTAGAAGAATTCACAAATTACTTGTACATTCCACGTGCTATCTGATTTAAATCAGATCTTGAGGTTCCGTTTCGTGGTTTTTTTTCTGTGGGTGACTCCACTTGTCATCATCCATGATCTGAAGAAATTGTTATGAACGGTGTGTTCTATATTATCGTTATTCATCCAATCGAAAATGACCAGCATGTTAGGAACTATTGAATTTTTCGCGTTTTTGATAGATAAGCATGTATTAAGACGCAAGTGGGTCAAGATTTCAATGTAAGCTTACTTGAATCATATTTCCATGCCTCTCCGAAGTTTACATGTTATTTCATTTTTTGTAGAATTGACCCTAATTAAAAGGAGAAGGTAAAATGTTTAATCTGATAACGTTATTATACTTATATTGGCAATATCAGCCCTTTTGTCGTATATATTGTTATATCATATTATAATTTGTTATGTTTACTTTTTTTTATCTGATTTTAACCCAAACTACACTTATACTATTTATATCTTTTCTACTTTTAACTTTTGTTAATAAAAAAAACCTAGAAAATTCAATTTTCGTTTATTAAATCATACTTACACGACATTCCTTTGCCGAAAATACAGTAGAAAAAAATCGAAACTCGAACTCCAGTTCCGGATTAGGTCGTGCGAAAAAAAATGTGTAGTAAGTGTTGAAATTAACATGGAGAGTCAGCAAAGCTCAAGACAAAATTATTTTGTTGTTTTTGGAAAAGGACGGTCAGCTAAGGTACGTAGCCAGACTTGATTGTTCGGAGTGGGGCAAGTAATATATCAGGAGGGTGACGGTGACGATATAGGTCCGCCATTAATTTCAGAGGGGGGGGGGGGCATGTTTTTTCCCGAGAGAGGGATGGGGCATTGAATCCGTGTAGTTACGGCCCGGGATCAGCAATCATAGGGCCATTCCTTAACCAATATTAGATGTGAGCAAAACGGTAAAACAGAGGCAGGCATAGGAAGAACCGTTAAGTATTAGGTCAAAGAGTCTTCAGAACAAAGCAAGCTCTAGTCTTTGAAAAAAATTTGACGCGAAAATAAGTACCGAGCAATTCTTGTTTAGGTCTATGTTTGGAAATATTCTGGATGTGCATAATGCACGTGCGACTACATGAGATATCTTGAGTGAATTAAGGTGTACTCACATATTATCATCTTGCAATTCAAAACATCGGCTCGGCTCCATCACTGCCAACATCAACAAAACGCTAATGCAGTCAGGCATTGCTAGAAACAGGAGTTTACTAATTAACTGAGCGATATTCACCAAACTCAAGATAAATGTCGGTGATTTGAATTCACTGTCAAAATGTTGAATATAAGGTGAGTGAACACTATTCATTCTCCTTCGCCACAACCAATCTAGTGTATGACCTCCTATACAACAAGAAGCAGTCAACCTCTTAGCGGTTTTTTACGATCCTACAACATCTGAAACACACAATCTGCACTTTGACTTTGAGAAAGCTCCAGCAATTGATCAGATAATCTCACATGCTGCAAGTAGCAGGTAGTCGTTAGAAATTCTGATGCCTCATAGATTCTGCCAGTTGAAAATCCGAGGCTCCGTGTGCTACAGGCACGACAGATCCCACGACAGTTGGAAATCGAGAAAGAGTAGGCTGATGCCGCTGTCCTGGTAAAATATCTCTCATTACGCACTGCATGGCGTTGCCCGTCTTCATTAGCCCATAAAGGTGCAGAAAAGTAGGACATAAAACTTCATTCATTTCATTTCACAGATGCATGACCATCCTGTATCATCTTCGTGATGCGCTTGAAAACGCTTCCCGTATTTATATTTTTGGTTACAGGGATTGTTACGGTATTCTAAATTCTTTTAGTGTATCTATACCACAGCGTATGTCATAAAAGCAAATTTCGCGACTAGTGACGTCATCAAACACTTAATTTCACTGGCATTGCAAGAACCACAGACGTCTGATTGAACATTGGAATGGTGCTAATTGATGCTATCAGTATCCCCGATACACATACAAAAAAAAAGAAAACCTCTTTACAATCCCTTTAATATCTCAGAAAAAAAGCACGTTTAAAGATAATTTAATCATATTTTATATATAGCTATTCAAGAAAAAAAATAAAAGAAAAGAAAAAAAATATTTACACATGCAAAGAATCTCTTTACAATTTTCGAAAATTTTATGTTACAAATCAAACTTAGAATCAACAAATCAGAACGATATTTCAAATAGGTCTCAACTAATAATAACAATAAACCAAGTCTAAGTGAGGGAAATATCATACAAAATGCATTTAATGATATACTACCTCTGAGGATGGCCAAACAATTAAAATTTTTAAACTTGCTTAAAATGAGTCTTTGTTCATCAGGTAGACTTACCTGGTGCCATAACTATACAACAGAATCTCTCTATAATCTAATAAATCCATAGAGATAAGTAACAATTCATTAAACTACGTAATTTTGAAACATGCTTAGAAGCGCATTTCAATAATTATTCAGTTTATTGGATATATCGTTATATATAGAGATTCTATTCTTCAGTCACGGCACCTAGTAAGTCTTATACTCTTATTGACCACGTTTGAGATTTTAAATTTTATGTCCATTCTAAGAGGTAGTATCCTTTAAAATGTATGAATTCCAAAGAGCACAAGTGTATCGAAGACACCAATAGCTTCTATTTGCACCATTCTAATTACTGCCGGAAGTCTAGTCCTGAAAATTCCAAAATCACACAGAAACTTTGAACAGGATTTAGAATAATCCATACAGAAGCTGTAAAATGTCCCAAAATACACATACAAATGCCAGAAAAGCTCTTTTGTACCCTTATAACATTAAAGTTCAAAATTTGCCGTTGCCTAAGAATAGCAGTTGGTCGTTAACTTAAGTCCAATCGAATGAAGAAACACGCAAAACAATCAAAAAAAAATGAAACCCTGTAAATAACAGCAACACCTCTATTCAGCTTAGATATATTTCATTGAACATTGCAATATAGCCTACTATTTTTCCCAAGCAACACAAAATGGTATTTAAGAAACAATACCTCTATTGCATTATAGCCCAAAGCGATAGAGTAAATATTAGAATGATAATGCCCACAAGGCATAGTGTATCCAAGAAAAGTGATATATGTTGGTTGTTTCTCTGGCTGCAGTATAAGGTGAAGACGTTGATTTGAGCTTTGAAATTGCGTTGCAACTACATGTATTGACATATTATAACTGCTGAAAAGGTTATCTTAAGATGAAGAGTTTCCTAAAAGATTTAAGTTGACCAAATCCCAAAATGCCCAGAAATCCAAACCCTGCAGCCAGAGGAAGAAACTATAGGATTTGAAAATGAGATATGTTTGGTTTTAAGAGCACCAAGATTTCAACTCACGATGTGTTTTTTTTGTGTGTGTTGAACAGAAATTGTGTCAATTTCTGCCCAATTGGCTTAATTTCTGCAAAGTTGACATTTAACAAGCAGGCCTATAGCTACAGTGCTGCAAGGGAAAATGGATATCCCCCCTGAAAAATTCTGACAACCGACCAATTTCTGCAACTATACATATACCATTGCCACTCAGAGTATATTACTTGGCTCTCCGAACAATCAAGTCTGGCTAGGGCCTGTTAATAAGTGCATAATAGTCAAAAGCAGAAACCAATCCAATGACAACCAGACAAAATACACAGTCTTTGTTAAACTACACAATATTTCAATATCGTAGTTGGCACTCTAATGAAACAACCTTTATTTTCGTTGATGGAAAGATTAATAAAATTTAAGAGAGAAAAAAATTATTGTTAATTTCCTAAACTGAATCAAAATCTATGTCTATAAAGTCAGTTTTCTAGATTTGAAAATCTACATCTATCATTATCAGCATCTGATACGAATGGTATAGATTTCAAAATCTACATCTATTTTATTCAACATCTGTAACTATGCATCTTAAATGTATAGATTTCTTATTATACTGTCTAGGTTTTTTTCTAGATTTCAAATTTTACATACAGATGTTCAATCTTCATTGATGTAGATTTTATGTAGATGTGAAAAACAGAAGGTTTTAAGAGCTACCAAGCTTCAATTAAAATCTAGATTTCAATATTTTCACAATATATGAAACCTAGATTTTGGTTTGTAAGAAGGATTAATTGCAATTTATGGCAATCTAGCTACAAGTTTTCAAACAATTAGAAAGAAATCTATACAATTATTGACTAACTTAGTTTTTAGTGCAATCTATGAAATCTAGATTTTGTTTTTACAAGATATCTGTGCAATCTATGAAATTCTACATTTTGGTTTTTATAAGGAATGTAGAATAAGTAATTTTATAAATCTATGTATTATAATTATCTACAAGTTATTCACAATTAAATTTTAAAACCTCAACAATACATTTATAGATTTACACAAAAAAACGTTTGTAGATTTACACAAAAACATTAATTTTTATAGATTTGGAATTCAAACTTATTTGATATGACAAACTTTTCTAGATTTACATAAATGTTTTTTTTTTATAGATTTGGAATTCAAATTAATCTACAAAGTGTACTGATGTTTACTTGATATGACAAACTTTTGTAGATTTACAAAATGATTTTTTTTTTAATAGATTTGGAATCCAAATTAATCTACAAAGTGTACTGATGTTTAGTTGTTATAAAACTTTTATAGATTTGGAATTCAAACTTATCTACAAGAAATACACTTCCAATGTTTATATGGTATGACAGAAACTTTTGTAAATTTACACATGAATTTTGTAGATTTGGACAAGAAATACAGTCCCAGTTCTTTGGGTATGATTGTATAAATGGAGATATTTTGTACAAGCATCTTACCACTGGTGCTTACGTCATGCATGCAATCTATTTTAGCATCATCTGATCTGGTCTGATCCTTCCTATAACTGCAAAATGCATGACTTTGAGTTGAACCAATGTCAATGGGACATGAACAGAGAAAAACATCAGATGACTAGGTGTCACATGTAAAATAGTATTATAATTAGACGAATACATTAACATAATTAATTAGGTATGAATATACATCATCTACATTTTATTAATAATACAATGAACTGAATCAATAGCTCTGATGAGTTCTAACCTCTTATTTTAGCAGTTAGCTCTGATGAGTTCTAACCTCTAAGTTAAGCAGTCCAGGCCCTTTGAGTAACAGATGAACTTTGACCCTAGTTTTTAGGCTAGAGTATTTATTTTCTGCAGATATTCTCATTGATGGCAGCTCCAAAGGGAAATGTGTATTTTTTCATTGTGGAATAAACCCTTTATTATATTTTTTTTCTGTGGGCACCCTCCAAGATTGGATTTGAAAAAATTTGGTGGTGACCTCACTCCAATCAATACTTTTGCAGCTGCCACCTTCCTAAATATGCAAGACTCTAGTTATGTTGATATGTCAATTATATTGGTATGTCAAGTTGACATTTAATCTAAAGGAATGACATATCAAAGATATAATAACTTCCTAGTACTTTCAGTTTCTGCCTTTTCCTGTTAAAGTATATATAGTATATTTTTGTCTTAATATCATGTAGATTTCTTGAACCTTCAAGGGTGTTTGAGTCTGTCCCATCATATTACCCTTGCATGAACATAACCATAAGTTTGCAACACTCTAACCAAAAGAGCTACAGCCTATCCTCAAATGGATCCAAAAGTTCTCACATTTTTCATACTAAAAAGGCTTATTCAAACAGAAGAGGTTAGACTTCACCAAAGCCTTTGATTCAGTCTATAGAAATAGCACACTTTAAATTTCATATATACAAACCATTTTACAAGAAAAGTCACTTACGTGTTTTAATTTCAATACTAGACACTTGAAATTCATGCATAAAATTATTCTTTGAAATGCTCTTTTTAATATATGACGTATTGAATCATTATTTTTATATATAAGGCCTACTTCAACAGCAAACTTCACTTCAAATTCTTGAGAGCTTGATAACCATCATAAGAAATTTAATCCAAATAATATGAAATGATTTATTAAATTGGCTTTCTCATGAAATTTCTTAATTGATGAGATTCAACAAGATTCTTAAGGATTCTGTCTACCAGCTAGTCTTTCGCAAACCTTCAATTTTGGCCTTTCTTAAATTTTTGGGAGAAATAAGACACTTTTTCAAAATAAGTAACATTTCTTATGATACTCAGTTCAGTTTGCTGAAAAGTAGACCAAATACATGAATTTATATTTGCTCTGCTCAGCTTTAAAGACAACACCTCAACAAGCTCAAAAATTAATTTTTAGCACATAGGATTTGATATGCTTTCAAAATGATAATAAAGAGCTTTCTTTAAGGAAGAATAAATGTCCATGAAATTGCCAAAACCAAAATTGCTTAAGGGCTAATGACAATTTTCTTTATTTCTGGATATATTAGCCCTTTGAGCTCGATATTGCCTTGAAGCTTAAAATTTGGTTAAAAAGATTCTTCAGGTAATATCCATTCTGATTAATATGCAGATCTAGAATTTTCCATTTATGTTTTTCTGTGGGTTACTAAATGCCATCCATAATCTGACAATTTTTTTGCTTGAATACTGTTCAGTTGTATTTTGTGAAAATGTGAAATGTGTGCTGGCAGTAACAGTTCAACAATGAATATCCCAGTCAGGCAGTACATTTGATTGAATAATTAACACCTAGAACAAGTGCTGAATAACAATTTCGTCAGATCATGGATGGCAGGTGTAGTCACTCAGTAAAAACAAGAAACGATACGTCTTGATCTATATTTTAATCAAATTGAGTCAAAAAGATGTGAATGTTTACAAATCTACAAATATTATAAATGAAAAAAATTATAGTTATATAAACATAATAAATGTAGATAATATCAAGTCCTATTCCAGTACCTCTAAATATGTTAACGGAACCTTCCCTCTTGAATTTTTTTTCTCGGCCATGAGCCAGTCTGGATCCATTCCCGCCACCGTATATACCATTATAAGCTGGAAAAACATAAATTACAACAAATTATTAACAGGAAACTGTCAAGCATTTTTGATGTTGAGGAAGGCATCTTTAAAGTGGTTGTACAGTCCATTTAAAGTGCTACATTTGGAAAAAATTCAAGCAAGGTTGAAAATTTGAATTTAAAATTAAACTGTCATTGATAAAATAATACGAAATTTTTTAAACCTCCGTCAAACAATGATACCTTCCCTTTAGTCCAATGTGGCATCACAGCATCAATAAAACCTTTAGATTTGTGTTCAATGGAGAAGGTATTTCTTACAATTCAAGTCATTTTTAATCTAGCCCACACAACCACTTTAAATGATTTTATACTTTAAAAATATTTTCATCAAATATATGATTATAAACTACATGTATATTTTTTTTTTAACCAAAAAGTCATAAATTTTGAATGTTAATTCTTTTTTTTACAATAAATTTTGATTTTTGATATTCTGAAGATTTTTATTGTTTTATGACAAAACATAATTCTAATCTATATGAAAAAAATAACAATGGAAAACATAAAATTCAAATGCAAATACAATAATAACTAAAAAACTTTAAAAAAAATCAGCTACATCTATGAATTAAATAGAAAAAGCCCCAAATAAATAATAGTTTCAACAGGTTGTTAAACCTTATGAATTCATTGTGTTGAATACTGCTTTTGCATATTGTTACTAGGATGGCTGGGTATGCTTCCTCTGTCTTTGGGTTTGTCAACTCTGAATTCTTTTCATGGAAATGAAATGAAATGAAATGAACGGAGTTTTACGTACCGGTACTACTTTTCTGCACCATGTGGGCTAATGAAGACGGGCAACGCCATGTAGGGTGCAATGAGATCTTTTTATGGAGGACAGCATATATTGTATTAATGGTATATTTATGACAAATAAGCATGAACACGACAATGCCACGCAGTGTACAATGAGAGAATGTTTGCCAAGACAGTGGCATAAGTCTGCTTTTTTGAAATTCAAGTTATAAATTTGTTTCCATCCAAGCGACTATACTACCAATAAAAATAGCTGATGAACACATTCTCAGTTTTGGACGATATTTACCTCATCTGCTAGGAGTGAAAGTTCGGAAGCATTAGCAGCTTCGTAATCATATAAAACTCGAGCTTGTTTTTTCTCTGTTGGCGTGGCGGCAGTGACTTGTATTGCGGGGGGTGCAGAGGGTTGGAGGGGGTTACCGTTATTTGTGTATACATTGGTGGACTGGTGCATATTTGACAAGCTCCCACCACCTACATTAGGACCCACTGAATAACTGAAAAGACACAAGATAAAAAAAACTAAGAAAGAGATTTAAGGATTCAGAGAGAATAAACTTTGATTGGATTTCTAGACCAGTTCAATTTGTTTTGCAAACGAATGTTACCAGAATCAACGGCTGGTAAGACAAGAACATATTTAATAAGTTCCTCCTAAACCAAATTACTCATCATTTTGTTGTTGTTTAAATCCGAATTTTTATACAAAAAAAGTCTGAATTCCTAAGCCAAAAGTATCATAATTTTTCCGAATGTACCATAATTGTACTTTTTAAGTCAAAACTACCAGGTTTTTGAAGATACAGCTGTTATAATAGTTTTAGTCAAAGGTACATATATTTATGTTATTTTTTTGGGAACATTTTCATGTCCAAAAGTACCATATTTCTCAACCAAAGTACAAGATACTCAACCAAAGTACATGATTATCGGAAGCTTGTTTTTCAAAATCTGTCCAATCACATCCAAAAGTTTGAAGTTAAAAGTTTACTCTCTCTGGGTCCCTGGTGAAACTAAATCAAATTATGTTCATGCAGTAAAACCTCAGCATGTCAAAGGAATGGTTTAAGATTGAAAAGAAATGGATCTCAAGAACAAACTCAAAATTCAAAACCCAAGGTATCAAACATCTTAAAATATGGTGTTATAACTTTTCGTTTGGTAAATTCATTTAATAATATAAGTGGAGAGCACATATAGCAAAAAACACAAGGGAATATATTATAGTATAACACACTTCTTTAATAACAAAGTACATAATGTTTAAACACAATTTACATTGTGTGGTCATTATGTGTTGAAACATTATGTACTTTTTTATTATAAAGTGTGTTATACCATATCATACCATAATAATATTGCATTTTTTGTTATATAATTTTTTTTATACTAATCACCTTTTTCAGTTGATTTATAATTATTTTTCGAATATTTTTTCAAAATGTATAATTTTGGTATTTAATTGTTTGTAGTGGAGGAGAAAGAAGAAGAACAAAAGAACCATGCATCAAACAGAAAGGGTACAATGAGTCAAGCAGGTCAAAGCAAAAGCAACAGACATGCTCAGAAAGTACATCAATAAACAGATATTAGTATATAAGTGCCCATTTCCCTACCATTTTATTATTTTAGAGGGTTCACACAGCTTTCAGAACTATTCTGCAGTACCAGAGTTACTGGAAACAAAGTAAGAATCAATCTTCCATTCTATTAAAGGAATACTACCTCTTAGAATGAACATAAATTTAAAGTCTCAAACTTGGTCAATGATAGTATATATTTATCAATTACTTACTTACGAAGTACCATGACTAAAGAATAGAATCTCTATATAAGACGATATATCTATTAAACTAAATAATTATTGAAATGCACTTCTAAGCATGTTTCAAAATTACTGAAGTTTTATGGATTTATTAGATTATGGAGGGATTCTGTTGTATAGTTATGGCACCAGGTAAGTCCACTGATAAACAAAGTCTTATTTGGCCAATATTAAAACTGATCATCCTAAGAGATAGTATACCTTTAATAGCACACACCAACTCAATCCATTCAGAAATTACCACATATCAACATAGCTAGTGCTCTTACAAATTTTTTGCTATCCCTTAGCTATTAATAACAAAATCTGAATCAATTCCTCAGACATTTGGCTTTGTCCTCTATTTTTTTCTTGACTTTATTAATTTTTATTTATTTATTTCACTTCGTTTATTTTGGTTTGTTGGAATATGTGTTAGGGCTCAGAAATCCTTAGCTATTAATAACAAAATCTGAATCAATTCCTCAGACATTTGGCTTTGTCCTCTATTTTTTTCTTGACTTTATTAATTTTTATTTATTTATTTCACTTCATTTATTTTGTTTTGTTGGAATATGTGTTAGGGCTCAGAAATCCTTAGCTATTAATAACAAAATCTGAATCAGACATTTGGCTTTGACCTCTATTTTTTTCTTGACTTTATTAATTTTTATTTATTTATTTCACTTCATTTATTTTGTTTTGTTGGGATATGTGTTAGGGCTCAGAAATCCTTAGCTATTAATAACAAAATCTGAATCAATTCCTCAGACATTTGGCTTTGACCTCTATTTTTTTCTTGACTTTATTAATTTTTATTTATTTATTTCACTTCATTTATTTTGTTTTGTTGGGATATGTGTTAGGGCTCAGAAATCCTTAGCTATTAATAACAAAATCTGAATCAATTCCTCAGACATTTGGCTTTGACCTCTATTTTTTTCTTGACTTTATTAATTTTTATTTATTTATTTCACTTCATTTATTTTGTTTTGTTGGAATATGTGTTAGGGCTCAGAAATCCTTAGCTATTAATAACAAAATCTGAATCAGACATTTGGCTTTGTCCTCTATTTTTTTCTTGACTTTATTAATTTTTATTTATTTATTTCACTTCATTTATTTTGTTTTGTTGGAATATCTGTTAGGGCTCAGAACTCCTTAGCTATTAATAACAAAATCTGAATCAATTCCACAGACATTTGGCTTTGTCCTCTACTTTTTCTTGAATAATCAGGACTCCATTTATGTCTACCTCATTTATTATATATAGATCTCCCTACTGCGAGGTTGGCTTAAAATTATACAGATATGAAATTGTCTGCAAAAAACAAACAGGTGGGAAATTAATCTTCGTAAAACCTTATAATACTGTAAAATGAAATGGAACTTTACGTCCTACTCTTCTGCACCTAATTGGTCTAATGAAGACTGTCAATGCCATGCAGTGTACAATGCAGGTAATTTTGCCAGGACAGCCACATAAGCCTACTCTTTTTTCAATTCCAAACAGTTGAGGGAGCCTGTAGCACACAGGGCCGCGGTTTATTGTCTTATCCTAATGACTAGACGCTTTTTCCATGTCAGCCACTCCAACCTGCATCATTTGACAGGGGGAAACTGGGTTTGAAGCGAAAACTGGTTATTTGTTTGAGCACTAGCAATATGTAATATAAAAGAAAACCATAGATGTTTAACACATAAGATGGTTTTTCCATTGTATATCTGTTCATCAAAATGATATATCACTGTTTTGTTAGTATGTGGGATATCAGAAGAATTTAGTCTTGTTGAAAGGATAGGCAGTGAAGCAGAGATGCAAATACACATATATATACCCCTTTCTAATATCTATTCATCTATTCTATTATCTAATGGACTAAAATCAAACTTTTGTTCTAAGGATTCTTTGTAAATAGAATGAGCAAAAGTATTTTTCTGATTATCCAACCAAATTTACATCAGTTACATCTAGATCAAATGAATTATCACCTGAATAATGAGGAAAGATGACTTATTTAAGGTCACTTGAATTTAGCACTGACTTATATAATCACCCATGAGCTAATGCTTTAAAGGCAGTTAAATGAAGTCTCAAAATTCCAAAACTAAATTTGGCTGCCTTAATTCAAGCATGGAAACAAAGATACTTTGAAAAAACCTTCATGATATAACTTATACACTTATAATACCACATGTATCACATATTGTCTAGACCAGGGATTTTCAACTTTTTAACCTCTATTACCCCTTGCAGGATCCTTGATCGATTACCTCACCCCCTCCCACTTATAAATCCTTACTATTTCATGATTATCTCTTAGACTTTCCCTGCAATCTTTTTTAATTGAGGAAAATATAGCCTGACTGAATAGAAACACATAATTCATAATTGGTCACAAAATTTATGCTAGGCTTCAAAGCAACTCACTACCCAAAATATTTCAAAATAACCCCCTCAGGAATAATTACCCCTCGGTTGAAAACCCCTGGTCTAAGCTATGTGCATGTGCAAAAAGTGCTGAACATCACAGGCAATGTCTATGCCTCCCTAAAAAAAGGTTTGGTGCAACCATGAGATTATTAGTAGGATTGTTTAAAAGGGGAGGGGGAGGTAAATCAAAGTATGTATTTGTATTATTCCAATTCAAAAATATAATGTCATTGTTTCAAAATCAATTCCTTTTAGAAAGGACTGATGCACCATTTTTTATACCAATCATACTTTAGTCTCACAAACGTGAATTTTTCAGTTAAGCTAACCAGTAATAATGTTCACAGCTCTCCATCGAAATTTGAGCCTTCAAAGATATTTGTGTCCAGAATTATCCGCATTTGAAAGTTAAAAAGACAAGTCGTCTTTTTTGAGACACTGCCATATATAGAAAAGACCTCTATAGAAATAGGAAAAGAAATTCCTAGTTTGAGATATTTTTGAAGGAATTTTCGTACATTTCTAGTACTTGTGAAGGCCATTTACATATATTCAAGACTCAAATCAACCCCCAAAAATGGCACATCTGTCCTTTTAACAAAAAATGCAAAAAAATTATTCCTATTGTTACTTCCATTAATAAAAAGCTATTTTTAGAAATAAGCATTAAGGATCATTACTAAGTTAATATTGAATTCATTGTGGGGAAAATTTGATGAATATACTTAAGCATAGAATATATATTGCAGAGAGAAGATGTAATATAATTCGGAGTTTATAAATCTTATTATGGGAATATTTCAAAATGAAATCAGACCTAGGTTTTCAAATTATGAATTTGTTCTGAAAAACTGCAAAATTCAAATTACCATATCATTTGATGAAAAATCAAAAGTCAGCACTGCTTAGTATGCAATCGTCTGTTGTATCGAATTCTAAGCTAGAAATTTAAGCACACAGTCCAAGTCCTGAAGCTTAAAAGCTCATGCTTTCAAAGTGCCTTTGCACCACATCAATTAAAGTTTGAAATATAAATCCAAGCAAATGCACTGTTCCAGCTAAATACACAAATCCCAACATTGATAGTTCTTCGTTTTAAAGGGATTGTAAAGACGTTTTCTAAATTTTTAATTGTATCAGAGACACTGATATCATTAATTAATTTGCACCATTTTAATTTTCAATCAGACGTCAGAGGTTCCTGCAATTTCACTTAATCTAAGTGTTTGATGAAGTCACTAATTGCGAAGGGCCTTATATGATAAAGCATATTTTGCCATTAGTGAAGTCATCAATCACTTAGTTTTAGTGGAATTGCAGGAACCACAGACATCTGACTAGAAAACAAAATTTAAATCTATTTACAGTCCCTTAGAAAGTATGAATAATGGAAAGCAGCCAATACAAATTACTGTTGTCATTAAACCAGATTTCAGATAATCTCCATATCATCAGAGACAATTTTAGATTTTTGCAATTTTTTTTCAAAATTTCTTGGAAATTTCAATGCTGATATTCCAATTCACATAAACAAAAATGAGTAAAAATTGATTTCCAGACAAAAGTAAGAAGATTGAAGAACTGTATTTTGATCAGATTGAATAGACCTAGATTTGCAATGTTATCACATAATTGCCAAAAATAACCTCCCAAATTGAACTTACCTGCCGAGTTGTCTTTGTAAATCTACCATGTATTGTTGACATTGTGCGAAATAAGCCATCTGGGCTTCAATAAAATCATTTAAACAACGGAGATGATGGGCCTGTAAAATAGAAATTTTCTGAATTGTGTAACAGTGAAAACAACATTTAAGGTCACATCTTTTATCAAACTTCTGAGGGCTAATGCAGATAGATAATGACAGATTGTGAGACCACAGCAAATTGCTACAAAAAGGTGATATTGAGCCTGTTACTTTCTGAACTGGAGCTTTGTAAGTTGGTAAAATTATGATTTATAAACAACTCAAAAATCTCAAAAATTAGTTCCAATCCTCACAAAGTAAATTCAATGGGACTGGTCATGGATTTTTGGACTAACATGACAAACTGATTTCAAATAGGAAAGAAACTATTTTGTATACACACATCCATAAGCTGGTAATGGAATCAACATGTTAATTCCAGATAGAGAAAAGTGCTGTGAGCAAAGGGGAAACAGCATTTTCCAGCTCTTTTGCAAAATTCGCACCGCAAGGGATTTTAAAAGTACACTCAGAACACCTTAACACCATGCTAGAAAACCTCATCAAAATATAATACCAATACATACATGTGTACTGTTGATTCCTTCTAAAAGAATTTTGGTAATTTCTGCCTGTCTGTCAAAGTCTGTTTGTGCTGTACGTAGATCTGCTTCAGCCTGGAAAAGTAATCGCAATTTTGAAAATCGGTGAAAGAAAAAACCATATTTTATACAGGTAAGAACTTTGTTTTTAAGGATTCTGTCTCAGCATTGATCTTTCCTAAATCATGGTACTCATTTACAGCTCGGTCTACTTAACAATCAGGAAAGAAGACTTTTACAGTATTATTACCATATAACTGACTGAGAATAGAACCCATGGCCACTATATATTTGATGTAATCAAGCAAATGAAGTCAAGATTTCACCACTTTAACAGACTAAGCTACACTCTGTCATGAAAAAAGGTTCACACATTGACAATGTTTACAATGCTTATTCTTATTTTGTAGTTGAAGGCGTTGTTAACCCAAAAAGGGAAAGACACAGGGTCATGGGTTGCCATTATTGAGAATTTTTAACGAACAGAATATAAAAGCCATTGTTCATTTTGTGAGTCCAATATTTTGATCTGCTTTCAATTTTCAAGTGTATAGTAAGATAGAAATATTAAAACAGAACCTAAAAAAAAATGTTGTTACTCAGAGTTTCACGGTATGCGATCTTCAGACAACTGACCAATTTTAAGTCTGTGCCCCTATTGAAGTTGGACAAGTAGAACTTATTTTCATGTCAACACTTTGGGACGAGTTGTGCACTTTTGTTTAAAGAAGCATGCTTAAGATATATGTAATCGTTTTCTATATCCAGGTCTATTTATTATTTTTGAAGGAATGCAGAAAACCCTGTTGTATCCAGGCAGGTGTTCTGATATGCAAATTTCACATTCATTTTATGGACAATATGTTGCTAGACAAAAACAATCAAAAAAAAAAAAAACAGTGTGCACTTTAATTTTCAGGACCAAAAAATGAAAAAAAAAAAGTTTTCCTTAAAGGGACAGATGCCATTTTTTTTTTTGACCAATCATACTTTAATCTCAGAAAAAGGAATTTTTTAGCTTAGCCAATCAGTAATAGTGTTCACAACTCACTGTTGAAATTTGAGCCTTCAAATCAAAGATCCAGGATTATCCACGTTTGAAAGTTAAATATAGAAAGAAATATATAGAAATAGTGTGTAAAGTTTCTCACTAATGCAATTTTCAAACATTTCTAATACTTCTGAAAGACTATTAACAACATATATTCAACACTCAAACAACCTCCCAAAATGGTGCACCTGCCCCTTTAAAGCTATCATTATTATGGTTCTTGAAACTAGTTTTTAGACCATCACAAAACCAGGTACTGGCCCTTTAGAAGTAAATTAGATGAACTGAGGAAAGAAAGTTTATTTGTGTGTTATCGAAGTTATTTTTTTTTTTAGACAATAATGAATATGAATTAAACAAGATCCTGGACCATCCATAAAACAAAAAGATTAAAGGAATACTACGTCTTAGAATGAACATCGAAATAAAGAATTTTAAACTTGGCCAATAAGGGCATTTATTCATCAGTAGATATACCTGGTGTCATAAATAACATTACAGGATCCTTATATAATCCGATAAATCCAAAAAAATCCAAATATTAAGATTAAATGTTTTCAATAATTAGTAAGTTTTATGAATTTTCCAACTTTCCAGATTTTACAGGGATTCTGTTGTAACTTAATGACACCAGGTAAATCCAACTGATGAATATATACTCATATTGACCATTTCCAGAACTTAAATTTTATGTTCATTCTAAGACATAGTATTAGATAAGATATGATACTATATGATAGTAATGCACAGAATTATACACAGCGAACACTATTTCTCTACTGTGATATAACAATGGGATTTTAAAGAATAAAACAAAGGGCAAAACGATAGATTATTCTTGGGAATATTAACAAATTGAAAAGAATAAAAACCCTTTGAACTGATGAAATAAATAAAAATCAAAAGGGATACCATATTTAGTATGTTTTAAGGGACTAGTGGAGAATAATGTAAATAATAGCAAAATACAAAACACAATTCAAATAATAATTAAATCAAAATATGATAAATTGATGCTAAATAAATAAGTACAAAATACAAATTAAATAAAATGCATCATCCCCAATATTCTAAATAAATAATAATTTTAAGGTGAAATCGATGAACAGAATTACTACCAAAAATTAATAAACAAAAAACTAATTAAAATAAAATAATAATAAACTATTAATTAAAATAAAATAATAATAATGATACAAAAAATAACAATAATAACAAATATAAAATAAATTATAATTAAATTACAAATAATAATAAGTTATAAAAAATAAGATAATAATGAATAATAAAAAAATAAATAAAATAATAATAATGAAAAAAAAATAATAAAATGATAATGAAAAAAAAAAAAATAATATTAAAAAAAAACCCCCAAAAATAACATTTCAACAAATATGTCTATCATAAATTTTCCAAGCAAAATATGCAAATACCAATGGAGGATTAATAAACAGAACAGGTAGCTAGATACTAACCTTTGCTACAGCATCATCCTAGCAGCACAAAAGGAATAAGAAAATGTTAATTATTAAGTTATTTTCAAAGAAAACCCTATAAAAAAACTTTAAAACATTCTTAAGCAAAATCATGCCAGCAGATTGAAAGACTAGGCATTTCAATGTATTTAGCAATACTTTGTAAAACCAGTTATGGATATCACATATAAACAATATTTAGAATTTTGACAACAGTAAAGATACAAATTTAGTTTTATATGATACAATACTAAGACTAAAGTTCTAATACCAACTAATAACATGCATGCATATATAAAAAATACCATTTTCACCAATTTTGAGATTCACCTGATGCCATTCTGTGACTGAGTATGTCAACATAGAGAATCAACATAGATAATGAAAGTTATTTGGCTTTAGTTGTTTTTAATGTAAACTTTTTTGAATTTCTGAATGCAATCAATTTAAAACTTTTTGGCTGTGCTACAAATTGTATATTCTTATGATGTTATACTTTGCAGATCTTATTTGAGAAATTTCACTCTATTTCTATTAACTTCTATAATGCCATAAACCATATATATTGATACATGCATATCATGAAGCTGTCTAATAAAAAAAATAGACCAAACTTTTGTTCTAATATTTTTTATTCAGCTTTTAATTCTAATACAGCCACTTCAGTTAGGGTCTAAAGGCAGCCCTCATGAACATTCATCTGTTTAATAATATGACCAGCCAATCAACTAATTGCCCTTCTGCTCAATTAAAATTAAAACTTGACAAAAAAATCAGAATGAAAGTTTGGTCTAATTTAAATTGGAATGAAGCAAAAAAACTGCTACCATGGCTTCTTTGAAATGGTTAAATGTTTAAAAGGAAATCCCATATCATGTAAAACAGTGCAATAAATCTAAGAATGTGGTTCAATAATTAATTTACCATTGGAAAATCATTCATTTATAATGATACCAAGCTTTACTTTACTTTTAAGGGATAGTGTCGTCAAAATAATTATTTTCAATGAGCTCAATTTCAGCCATCCGTGTCACTTTTCAACATGAATATATACAGTTTTGGGTTAGTTTATTATCACAAAATAGGTTTAGGTTACAACTGGATAATAGGCACAACATTTAGCAAACATTAATAAAGAGAATATTAGAAAGAAAGAGAGATAGAAATATAAACTAAGATTAAGAGAACAGAGATTATGAATAGACATGTTTAATAACATGCTTAACAAGCATTGAACAAACATTTGTAGAACTATAAGATGTTTAGCAAACATTAATAAAGAGAACCCCTTGAAAAGAAAGAGATAAAGAAATAGAAACTTAGATTGATAGAATAGAAATCATGTGTTTTGAAAAATGTTTTATCCCATGCTTAGCAAGCAATATTACTTTATCAAACAAACATTAATAGAAACATAAGATGTTCCTCAAACATTAATACAGACAACAGAATAGAAGGTATAGAAATGATGAATTGTGTTTTGATTTGACATGTTTTATAATATGCTTTATAAGCATTAAACAAACATTAGTAGAACTATAGGATGTTTAGCAAACATTAGTAGAACTATAAGATGTTTAGCAAACATTAGTAAAGAGAACCTATTGGAAAGAAAGAGATAAAGAAATTGAAACATTTGATAGAATAAAAACCATGAATTCTGTTTTGATTTGAAAAATGTTTTATCCCATGCTTAGCAAGCATTATTACTTTATTAAACAAACAAGTAGTGCTATAAGATAATAAGCAAGCATTAATACAGACAACAGAATAGAAGATATAGAAATGATAAATTGTGTTTTGATTTGACATTAAACAAACATTTGTAGTATGATAAGATGTTTTGCAAACATTGATAAAGCAAATCTATTAGAAATTCAAATAGAAATCATGAATAGTGTTTTGATCTGAAAAATGTTTTATCCCATGCTTAATAAGCATTATGACTAAATATTAATCAAACATTATTAGCACTAGAAGATGTTTTGCAATCATTAATAAAGTGGACAGAATAGAAAGAGATAGAAATCATAAATTTCCTAGTTTATTACATGCTTAGAAAGCATTATTAATAAATATCAAACAAACACTATTAGTATATGATGTTTAGCAAACATTAATAAAGTAAATCTATTAGTATTAGTATGAAAGAGATATAGAAATAGAATCTAAAATAATAGAAAAGAGTGAACAAGAGATCTAGCCAGCAACAAACATGCAACATCAATATCAAATCTACTGAAATATATATTAGATAAAACCTTATTATAACTCTAATCAATATGGTAGGACATGTGTCGAGGGATTAATACATACAATATTGATAAGCTTCGTGTCATCAAGTAGTTATTTGCACTGATTAGATTCAAAACCCATTCCAATGTTGCTACAAATTTCCATGTGAGATGAATTGAAAATTGTCAGATATATTTAGTAAATTTGGAAATATTCAGATATATTTTAAAGATTTGATACTGTTCAGATATATTTTAAAGATTTGACACTGTTCAGATACATTTTAAAGATCTGATACTGTTCAGATATATTTT